CAGCTTTGGCTGCAGGTAGTTTACTTGAGTGGTAGTCCCAGGAAGCAGGAGCTAGGGAGGGAGAAGAGTGTGACAGGGAAGGAGCAATGCCAAGGGCTTGTTAGTGGGGTCCCTGCTATATGTAGTAGGAATTTGATTCTCAGGAAGCTACCATGGACCAGGCACAGTAGCTCACACTTGTAATCTTAGCACTTTGGGAGGCCAAGGTTGGGTGGATCATTTGAGGTCAGAAGTTTGAGACCGGTCTGGCTAACATGGTGAAACCCCATCTCTACTAAAAAAGTAAAAAATTAGCTGTGTGGGATGGTGTGCACTTGTAATCCCAGCTACTTGGGAGGCACGAGAATCACTTGAACCTGGGAGGTAGAGGTTGTAGTGAGCCGAGATCGTGCCATTGCACTCCAGCCTGGCAGCCTGGACAACTAAGTGAGATTCTATCTCAAAAAGATGCTGCCATGGTGACTCCCAGAATTGTCTGCCTGTACAGTGTCCAGAGCACTGCTTCCACCTTAGCCTTATGGGCCATGGGACATGAGGAGAGTCCCGCTGTCCCTTGCCGAGGGGAGGACCAGAGCCTGCACTCCGTGTGGACCTGAGGCTGGTGTGGTCCAATGGGTCATAGGTGTGTGGCGTTCTGTCCCCTACTGTTTTGTCTCTTCCAGGGTTTTTTTTTCTGTCTCTCATATTTTTCACTCCTTCTTTTCTCCCTGCAACCTCCTTACTCCTCTCTTCTTTCGTATGTAACAGTTCCACCTCTTTGTATGTGAGGGCCTTAGAATTTACAGGTTTATACATTGTTTGGTCTGACTTCCTATGTGGTTCAGAGTCTTTTCCACAGCATTTTCAGTGGTATCTGTGACTTCCTGGAAAACCCTCCTCAGAAGCATGTCTGAAAAACACCCTTTCCTTGGACAGCTCTAACTGCTGAGAGTTCCTTTCACTGGTCTGAAATCTGTTGTGGGGGACATCTACCCATTGGTCCTAGCTTCATCTTTTTGAACACGACAGAGTAAGTCTTCATTGTCTGGCTCCAGCCCTTCATACTCCGGAGGCCCATATTAGGCTTCATAAAATCACAAGAAGACATGGATGGGCCCAACCTCCAGGAGGTCACAGTATGGATAAGGCAAATCAACAGATAATTGCAAGCAGTGTGGGAGGTCCAACCGTTGGTTTGGTGCTGTGTTTGTGTAAGAAGGATGGAGGAAATAAGGTGAAGGGCACAGAGTATCACAGAGGAGGGAGATCTGAGCTGCCTTTTGGTTTATCATTCAGACAAGCAGGGGTGTATGGATCAGAACGTTGTGCAGTGCATGGCTGTGTGCAAAGGTCCAGGGGCTGTGAACAGCACCAGGTGTTGGTCAACTTGTAGTTCAGCATTGATGGAGCCCAGAGGGGTGGGAAGTAAGTAGGTGAGGGCATGTGCTTGCAAGTCATGGCCTTGATGGTACAGGGATAGTAGGAGAGGCTGTATGGCAAATCTTGGAGGATTTTACCTAGCACTTTTTCCTAACGGAGATGGGAAGGAAGCCAATGGAGGGTTTTAAGCAGGCAAGTGAGAGGATTAGATTTGGATTTTAAAACAGTTCACTCTAGGGTCTAGGTGGAGGATGGTTTGGAGAGTGTTAGTCAAGATACTGTTAGCAGAGGCACTGGTTGAAAATGAGTTCAATACTGAGAATGTTCTCTCGTGTAAAAACATGCCCAGGCACAGTGGTTCCAGGGCAGGTTCAGGGGCACATCTGTGCCAGGAAAGCCCCAGGATCCACCTCTCTCTTTGTGATGCTTGAGGCATTATCATGGTCTTTCAGTCGGCCTCTCCTCGCTGCTACATGGTTGCCTCAGTTCTGGCAGTGGATATAGCAACACTCAGCCGAGGAAGAGAGGTGGTACTTTCTTCACGAGGAAGGAAACCACTTCTGGAAGACCCTGGACCCTTCTTTTCAGACCCCATTGGCCAGGCTTGGGTCCTGTAACCCTGGATGTCAGGACGGAGCTGCATTCCGAGTTCCTGGAGTGGGAGGTGGCATGACCCTCGAGGAGGGACAGGTGTTGGGAATGGGCAGGCTGGATACCAACAGTGTACATCCCAAAGCAGCCGCAGGGAAGGAAACTCAAATCAGAGCTGTGGGAATGGTGAGGGGAGAGATGAGGTTCTTGTCCAGTCTTTTCTTCTCCACCAAGGCCAACTCAGGTCTCTACTGGTTTGTAAACTGGCCTGGCGCCAGACCTTAACCCACATCCGGGCACCCAGTTCTGTCATGTGTTCTTAACATGTGATGCCGAAAGCAGAGTCCAGACGCGGTCGATCTGGTGCAGAGCCTGGCGGTCTCTTCAGCCGCTTCTTGTTAGTGCAGGTGAACGTAATTTGGTTTCTGTTGATTCATGCTGTTAACCTGGGTTCAGCTTCTGGCAAGCTCTAATTCTCAGGTCTTTTTTTTTAATGTGAACACATCTATTCCTGGCATTTCACCCACATATTGAATTGTATCCCATGGTGAATTGCGGTGTGAAGTAAAACATCATTTTAAAGCAAAGAATTCCGTAATCTGTTGTTTCTACCTTTTTATAGCATTCAGTATATTCTGCTATAGTTATTTATGCGTGTGTATCACCCAGTATGTGGGCCACAAAAAGAACTTCTGTGACTCAGGCAATTTGTAGACCTTTTGAAATGTTTTTATAGGCACTAAATAGTAAAATAAGACAAAAACTGCTGTTAGGCATGTTGCAAATCAAGCCTACAAAACGTCGGCGCTGCCAGCGACATTGAGATCACCTGTTTCCCCATTCTGCAGCTTTGCAGAGTCATCCTGTTCTTCAAGGGAGGGACGTGTCTGATGGTCTTGACTTCTTCCCTCTAGCCTGAGAGAGCGATGCGCAGATCCGTCTGACTCATGATCTCATCTATTCGTGCTTTTCAGTTCAATGTTATATTTAATGCTGATTCTAGTTATATGATTAAGGACCTTTTCCAGTGAATTAAAGAACTTCCATAAAACTGTTTCACTAGGTCTTAAAAATGGTCCAGGCACCTGGATTATGGGATAAACACCCAAAAAAACTTCATAGAACCTAGAAAATTAGAATGTTTATTTTGACCAGTCTGCCATTAGCCAAGTTTTTTTCTTGCCTCTTCTTGAGAGAGCGTTCCTTTAACCAGCCTGCCTCCCTAAGAAAGAATACTTCTCCATTTTATATTTTCCCTTCAGGTGTTTCTTGGTACCTTTACTTGGGGAACTGGCTTCAGGCAGTCGAATCACGGAAAACGGACTGACCGAATGACCTCTGGCTGTCTCCCTTCGGTTGCTCCTGTTTCTGTCATATTACTGCATAGGTGCATATCCTATCTCACCTCCCCGATAACCCCACCTGGCGGCACTTACCAGTCTGCCGCCTTGCACCTCCACATCCCACCTCCCTTCATCCATTTCCACACTCACGGCTGAGAAAGGCTTATGTGGAATTGTTCCCTGTGCATTTGTCATATGTTCTGAGGAAGTGATTTTCGGGCAGGTTATTTCAGGTTTTGTGGCTCTGTTTCTAAGAAAGAGAAACCTCCTTTTCCTGCCTTCCCTATATTTCCTTCTCACTTAGGAGTCTCAGTGTGCATCCAAGATGGCTCCTTTGTTCTTCAGTTGGTTGTCGAAGCTTTTCTTAGCCCTCAGGCTGATGCCAAGGGTAGCCATGTGGAACTAGCTGCCGTTCTTTCTGTGGCTGACACATTCCCTCTTCAGTGTATTTCAACATTTTTGAACTCATTCAGTTTGCTCTCTGCAGCAACGGCACAAATATAATCCAGCTGTTCCCGGCTTGGACACCTGTGGCACTCCATGATGGCCTTCCAGAGGTTTCCAGCAGGCAGGAAACCAGGCATCGTTTCCCTTTGCTCTTCCATTGTTTTAAGAAACTGTAGACTAGAGTCAGCCTTGAAAAATCAGAGGATTTCATGTAGGAAATCTAGATTTCTAGTCTCACTGTGAGCCATCGGTAGACATGACTGTCTTCCCACCAGCAGGCTGGTCGTCTGCGGGAACTTGAGCTTCCTTTCCTTCCAGCTTCTCCTACTCCTCAGGCCTGACTGGTCTTCAGGCACATCGATGTTTCATGCCTGGTTCCCCAAAGGAAGTTTCCGGACGTCTCATGGCCATTCAGGGCACTCTGGGACCTAACTCTGATACCCTCCCCTGGTTTAATTTCTGTCTCCTTGCTTCCTGATGAAGTGGTCACCATACAGGGTGCTTGGGCGCTGGTTTACACCTTGGCTCTGCTGTCTATGCCTAGATTGAAACACCATTTCCACCACATCCACTCCTTTGCCTCCATGCCCTTGCCTGTGTTTCCTGACCATTGCTTGCACATCCTTGCTCTTTATGTGCACCGAGGGTTTACCTCCCCATGAAGTGGAGAATCTACCATCCTTTCCTGTAACTATCTCAGGTCGTTTCTCATTTCATTTGGTGCATAGCAGATTGCCCTGGATTGCATGTGCTGTTTGCATGTCTGTCTCTCCCCTTGCACTGCAGGGCCCTCGAGGGCAGGGTCTGCACCTTATCACACTTTTTGTCCACCAGACCTGGTACACAGACAGTGGCTGATAAGTGTAAGTAGAATAAGTGAATGGTCTATTTCTTGGAATATACATCTTGGAGACGTTGTGTTCTCTGCAGTGTTGTTTATTAATGATTCTGAAGTCTGCTTGGCCTCGTGAAGCAAGAATCCATTTCTTGCTTCTCCAAGACAAGAATTCATTTCTGTTTCACCCAACAGTGTGTGCCCAGGGCCTAGGCGATGGCCTGTGGTGGGTAGCAGTGAATCTGTACTGAATTGAGTGAAGGAGTGCAGTGCCGCTGTGGTACCTGCAGGACTCAGTGGTCTGCATGGCATTGCAGACCACAGAGCTGTATTTCCTTCACTGTCCCATGAAGAGTCATGTTTACCCTCCAACTCTGCCACTGATATAAAAGGGTACCTTATGCGTCTTGGTATTTGCTCCCTAGGTAACGAGTCTGACCTTGAACTAGAAAAGAAGTGTAAGGAAGATGATCGAGAAAAGGCCCCGAAAAGACCACGGTCACAGAAAACAGAGAAAGTCCAGAAGATCTCAGGAAAGGAGTCCGGACAGCTTTCTGGGGCGAAGAAACCCATCATAAGTGTGGTTTTAACTGCACATGAAGCTATTCCAGGTGACTGCACCAAGCGGGAAAGGACAAGCCAAGACCCTTGGCAAGTCCATGCTGAGGGCAGCCTGATGTCACAGTCTGAATCAGAGCATAGAGCTGGTGCATTGGTGGGGCTCTCCATTTCATCACCCACTAATTCCAGGGGATGAGACCTACTTAGTGCCCAGGAGTTGTGGTTAATGGTTAGGGGAGAACAGGGTAGCTGCGAGGGCTGCTGCTCCTGCTGCTCCTGCCGCGGTACTGCAGTCCTGCTGTGCCGCTCCTGCTGGCGTAATGGTTCCGGGAGCAGTTTGTCTTCTTCGTCCCCTCACCTAGCTCCTCTGCTGGGTGTGTGCCTTCCCCTCCAGCTCGCAGCAATGCCATCCTGAACGTGGGGGAGGCCCATGAAGCCACACGCATGCAGGCTGCTGCTCCAAAACCCGTGCTAGCTCTGCCCACTTTCTGTTTTGTATTTCTTTAACCTCTGTACACATAGAAAAGACATAAACTGACATAGGCACCCACTATTTCCATCTCCCAAAGAATTAGAGTTCTGTTCTCACCTTTCTTTTGAGATTAAGACAGTGGGAAATGTCCTAAGGGAGTATCCTGGGATGCTGCTGATCTTTTTGTATTTATAGGAGTCACCAAATATTTTATAATACTAGAAACTTCCATCTCCCTATTCTTTTACATGAAATAGCTGATGGATATATGACACTACCTGTGTGTGTCTGTGCATATATATATATATATATATATTTTTTTTTTTTTTTTGAGATGCAGTTTTGCTCTCCTAGGCTAGAGTGCAGTGGTGTGATCTTGACTCACTGCAACCTCCACCTCCCAGGTTCAAGTGATCCTTCTGCCTCAGCCTCCTGAGTAGCTGGGGTTACAGGTACCTGCCTCCATGCCTGGCTAAGTTTTACGTTTTTAGTAGAGATGGAGTTTCTCCATGTTCACCAGGCTGGTCTCAAACTCCTGACCTCAGGTGATACACCTGCCTTGACCTCCCAAAGTGCTGGGGTTATAGGTGTGAGCCACTGCACCCAGCCTGACACTATATTTTTTAAAAAGGTCTCCTTTAGGATAGGACCCTTAATAAAAAAGCAGTTTATAATAGTGGATTTCAAAGTGTAACTTTTCCCCTATGCGTTTGCGATGATTGCTGTCGAAGATTTAAAAATAAGTTCAGGATGTTAAGGACAGCGGCGGCCTTTTCAGTGCTAAGAATGACTCATTTAAAATGAAGACTCTGATTAATTCTCCTCTACTTCACTGCAGACCAAGGTGATCAGAGAACAGACCATATAAAATTGTGTGACTGGAAGAACTTTCTGGAAAGTTACTTTTTCTGCCCTACTCACTTCAGAATAGTATTATTCTGGAAAATAAGAAGCCCAGAGAGAATTTTCTATTTTCAATTGTTGCTAGAGAAACTTTCTACAGTTTTTCTAAAAATTAGTAGTAGTATTGTGATATTTCTTTAAGCAAGGGTGAGAAGTATAATTAATTCCTTTGCTTTTCCAGAAATGGGGTAAATTGGACCTTTTTCTTTAATGCAGTTGATACACGCAGGTATACACACACGCGCGCGCGCACACACAGACACACACGTATACCTTCATATGAAGTGTCCACTGCTGTAAAAGGCCTTTGATCATTTAACTGTATAGAATTGCAGAAGTAAAGGTGACCCTTGCGATTTTTCCACCTCAAACCCTTAATTTCATACGGTGGAAACAGAGATATTGAGGCAATGTCGTATCTGGGACTGGACCCAGTTAGCTTAAAGTTCTGTTTACAGTCTGTTCTACTGCTCCATACTATCCTGATGCAGCTTTAAATTTACTTAAAGTTTGACACAGGTGATTTTGTATAAAACCTTGCCAGTAGCATGTATATGTATATGAGTATATGTATGCATATATATGAATAGTTTTTAACCTAAGTGGATCAAGTGAAAATATTATCTCGGCCAGGCACGGTGGCTCAAGTCTGTAATCCCAGCACTTTGGGAGGCCAAGGCAGGTGGATCATGAGGTCAAGAGATTGAGACCATCCTGGCCAACATGGTGAAACCCCGTCTCTACTAAAAATACAAAAATTAGCTGGGTGTGGTGGCATGCACCTGTAGTCCCAGCTACTCGGGAGGCTGAGGCAGGACAACTACTTGAACCCGGGAGGCAGAGGTTGCAGTGAGCCGAGATTGTGCCACTACACTCCAGCCTGGTGCCTGGTGACAAAGTGAGACTCTGTCTCAAAAAAAAAAAGAAACTATATCTCAAGAGGATGTTTAGACAGATTATTCAAAAACCTCTCCTTACTTTCTCAAATGTATATACTCTCTCACACACACAACACACACCCAAAGAATTTAAACGTATGAGCTCAGTGAAAACTATGTTGCATGGGTGCCATTCAGTATTGAAATACACTTCCGAGCACCATTCCCTCAGCTGCGATGGGGACGATGGCCACTTTCACTGCCTCTCAATAAGAAGTGCCTTTTGCATCAATCTCAGGTGCTACCAAGATTGTGCCAGTGGAGGCTGGGCCTCCTGAAACAGGAGCTACAAGTTCTGAGACCACTTCAGCAGACTTGGTGCCTCGGAGAGGGTACCAGGAATACGCCATTCAGCAGACACCTTACGAGCAACCAATGAAGTCAAGCAGGTAAAGTGTTTTTTTCTGTGTAACTTCATGCGAGTGAGCTCCACAGAGTGCAGGAAGGATCAAGATGCTTGTTCATTTGGATTCTGCTTATACACTTACTTATAACAGATACAGACCCCTTGATTCAGTGGCAGAATTAACCCCTCCATTACAGCCCTTAGTGTGCTGGCCGAGCCTCCAGCGTGTTACGGAGTAGCATGCTTTTAGAACTGAGCACCAGTTGGCTTAATGAAGCCAGAGCATTTTACTTAAAGCAAACCGATTTTTAACTTTAATAAAAAGAAATAGAAACATGGCCTTAGTAAGGTTTTAGATTTTTATAACTACACTTACTACAACTTAAAAAATCTATATTTCCTTATCAGTTTGAAAAGTCGCATAAATGTGTTATAGGAGGCTCACAAATCCCATATGATGTAGAGTTAAAGTAACCTCGAGTGACTCTTTCTGGAGGTAACACCTTTTGATAGTTTAGTTCGTGTGCCTCTGAAAGTTTTTTGAAATATATTAACATATATTGCTTTTATTTTGTTGTTTTTTTTTCAAATACTACATACCAAAAGTATTGTTTTCAACTTTTTTAAAAAAGCTTACTACACCTTGAAAGTCTTTCATTTTTAGTACACAGTCTAAAAAGCTGTGTTTGCTGTTATGTGGACATATTTTAGTTTATATACCTGGTTCTTACCATTCAGGACAATGCAGTGTTAACGTTTTGGTGCATACATCTTTTCATACTTCAAGACTTCCTGTGGAGTCAATTGCTAGAGTTGAAATTGCTACATCAAAGTATATGAGTGCCTAGTGCTTGACTGACATTAAAAACTCTCTCCAGATACATTGGATCAGTTGACCACCCGTAGCAAACCAGTGTGTTTCTCTACACTCTCCCCAAGTTGTCTGCCTTTAGCCTGTACCTGCTGAAGTCAGTTAACAAACTCTGATCCCCAGAGGACTGAAAACATTTCTCCCAGCTGGAAGGAAAGACAAAGAAAATGCCAGTTGCCAATGGTTAGCCTCTGTTTCTTGACGAAGAGAAATGGGGTGTTCTTGAGTAGAGCATAAGCTTTAGAATGAAACAGACCTAGTAGGCTCTAGACTATTCTACATGAGTTCAGCTCAACAAATTGAGCACTTCTTGTGTGCTGGGCACTGGTGATATGACAAAGAATCAGCCAGATGCAGCCTCTGCCCTGATGAAGCTTACACTCCGTTGTAAGTTGACACAGGTTAACTTTGCATCTATCCTTCGTTGCACAATTTTAAGACTGTCTAATCGAATCTTAGTTTAGTGATGAGGATAAGAGATAAAATATGCAAAGTGCTTGGCAATGTAGAGCTCTCATTGAATTATATGATTGTATCATGTGGTGTGCTTCATTAATTTGTAACCTCAGTCCTCTGTTCTTGTAAATGTGAACAACTGAATTTATTGATGAAGTCGTAAAAATACTCATTCCTTTGGTGAATAGAATTAAGTCTCTCAAGTCTTCTGTGTTTCAAGTCAGGTTGATTTGTAGACCTTAATTAATTATCTTCACAATGTATCAAGGTCTGCTGGGGAGGGGTTCAGCTAAATGGTAATCTAGTTACAGGTAAATACACTGAATATTTAATCAAGAGATCTGGGCTAATATTTTATTGTGCAAATAATACAATAACTGCAAAAGAGATGTTTTTGGGTAAGGATTTTCCTTTGTAAGATTTGGATAGAAATAGAAGCTTTTAGGTTATATGATTTTTCTCACATAACAAATGATACAGACTTCTTATATAAAAAATTTTGGAAGTTCAGAAAACTGATGGAAAAAGTCATTTATGATCTACCCAAAGATAACTATTTTTAAATGTATTTCCTTCCAGTCTTTTTTCAACATGTATAGTTTATAAAATTGAGTTTATATTTTATATGCAATTTTGTATCTCACTTTTTAAAATTTTTTTCCTCTTTTTTTTTTTTTTTTTTTTTTTGAGACAGAGCCTCACTCTGTCACCCAGACTGGAGTGCAGTGGCACAGTCTTGGCTCACTGCAATCTCTGCCTCCCAGGTTCAAACTATTCTCTTGCTTCAGCCTCCTGAGTAGCTGGGACTACAGGTGTGTACCACCACACCCAGCTATTTTTTTTTTTTTTTTTAATTTTCAGTAGAGATAGGGTTTCACTATGTTGGCCAGACTGGGGTCTCGAACTCCTAACCTCAAGTGATCCACCCACCCTGGACTCCCAAAATGCTGGGATTATGGACGTGAGCCACTGGGCCCAGCCATCACTTTTTAAAACTTAATCACATTATGCTTATATGCCTTTGTTACTCAAATTGACCACAAAGATTTTGCTTTATAGCAACATGGCATAACTTCGTGAGGATATGGTACAATCAACTCAACACTGGAGCCAACAAGGTCTTTTTAAAATGCTCATCTGATTGTTACCCTTTAAGGCTGTGCCTTGCTCTTAGGGGTACAGGAGGCTTCTAAGACTAGCCCTGCCACCTCTGAGCCTTGTCCACCTGCTGTGGTCCCCCAGTTCTCTTGCTCCTGACATCTGGGCCGCTTTTCACTTCCTTCATCTCTTCTTGCAGGTGCCCCTTCCCCTTTCTGGATGCCTTTCCTCCCCTTTCTTAGTTAATGCCTGTCTGTCCTTTAGCTTCCTGCTCAAATGTCCTGTCCTCGGGGAGGACTTCCCTGTCCCTAGACCAAATCAGTCTACCGTGACTGGGTTCTCGGAGTGTCTGGCCTTTGTCCTTCTCACAGGGAGCCCAGTCGTCCTTGTTTGTTTACTTTTATATTTAGTATGTAGGTTGGCCTGTGGCTCTTGCTGGAAGGTGAGCTCCAGAGAGCAGGGCTGTGCTTGTTTTCATTCCCTTTTGTATCCTCAGTACCTGGACCACTTTTTAAAGGGAATGAGTAAGTGAAGAAAGATAAACATGCAGACAAAATAGTTCCCTATGTTGGTACCTTCGAACAGCTTCCCATTCTTAACTATTGTGGAAAATGAGCCATGAGTAGTACCTTCATCTGAAGTTTCTATTCTTTCTTTTGGATAAATTCCCAAAAGTGGAATAACCAGATTAAGAAGTCTGACCTTTTAGAGTTCTGCTGGATTTCTTTGTAAAATGCAGTGGTGAGAGTACCTCTCTCACTGAGGAGGCAGCATTTGGAGAAAAGTGACTCATGGAACTCGCATGGACATCGAAGCTCTGGCATCGGTTCACTGTCGCAGTCAATGACTTGGGCCTGTGAGTCAGATGGAGGCTGTGCAGTGTCCTTGTCAGACTCACTGCCCTCAAGAGGAACCAGGGCGCTGAGGGCTTCTGCAGGTAGCTGCCCCTTAATGCAAAAAATCAGAGCAAAAGATTCTCATAAGACCATTTAGATCTTGCAGTACAGGAGATATACAAAGTCTTGATTTATTTATTTAATTAATGTAACGAATCCAGGGTTTCTTTTTTGGCATTCTTTGTGCCAATCATATGTATCCCCTTCTGGATATCTTTGTCATTTGAGAAAGATCCAAATTACTTTCCTTAAATTAGCCTTGGGCTTAGCATGTAGGCATACTAGTAACTTCCAAATTTAAATATTTTAATCACATCATGTGAATCGTACCCTCTGGTATTTATGGACTGCAATCCATTTAAATATTTTAAATTTAAAGACAAGGCAACCTGTGTTGATCAGACACAGTTGTTTGGATAGTTTTATAACTACAGACTTTACAGTTAGAGTGGGTACAGTTTAATGGTATCTAGTTAATAGCACTACATGATTATTAGCATGTCTGAGCTCGTTTTGGACACATTGTCCAGAGAGAGCAGTCAGGGCTGGAGAAGAAACCTCACTTGCTTCTTTAGACTCATTTGTCAGTGCCTGTGCCTGGTGCCTATTGGGGTACTTTGGTGACTGTCATCTGCTGGTTTCAGAAACAAATCTTGCCCATTCCAACAGCAGTGGAAACCTCACAGGGGGAGCCTTCTTTGCAGGACAGTTGCTCTGGAGCAGGGTCGCTGTATGACAGTGATTTCAGGGAGTGGAGAGAATGAGCATGAACATGTAGGCTCTAGAGTCAGAGAATCTTCCTGGATTCAAGTCCTGGCTTTACCACTTACCAATTGTACAACATGGGGCAAACACCCAGTTTTCTCATCTGTAAAATGGGTATGATAATACATTTGGGCTTAAATACATAGCATAGAGTTTGTCATACTACATATACTCAATAATTATTGGCGGTTATTATTACTGTCTCATTTAGCACACACATTACTGTATTGAAAGAGACAGAATTCATGAGGCAGGCGGACTGTAGGGTCCAGCCCTACTGGGATTGTGGGTGTTGCCTATTGTGCTGAGGTGCTGGATCTGAGAAATAAGGAGACAAGACACCGAAGGACTGGATAAGAGCCGCTGGGCTGGGGGGCCAACGCCACTTGCAAGCAGAGACAGGTGAGGGCCCGAGCGTCCAGGCTTGTCTGTATTTATTAGGTGTAGGTTGGGGGAAAGGGTAGAGAGTGAGGTCATCTTAAGCACAGTGATAGGGTCAAGACAGTCACGTGAGTGGTAAGCAAGGGGTCCAACCCCATTAGGTCACCGAGACAAGAAGGTGGGCAGAATAAGGGGCCCAGCCCCATGAGGTCACTGAGGCAAGGAGGTGGCAGTGTGCAGCAAGAAGGATGCAGGATGCAACATCTCTCATCTAGGGGCAGGCAACTTCTAAGAATTGCTATAGGAGGATGCTGAGTCGGCACAGTAGCAGCAGAGCTGACAGGGTATACAGCCACCTAGGTGCAATTATACCGGAGGGGTTGTAAGCCCTTGGACATATGTGGGATTGCCAGCCTGAGGCCAGCTTTCCACAATAACTGGATGTAAGATACTACAACTCCCTTTCAGGAAGAGTGACTCTTGCTCCAAGCCTGCCATGCAGCGGGTATCTTTACGATACTGAACGCTGCTGCCTGGGCTGACCTGCCACCTGCCATGTAGTGCATGCCCTTTCAGGCAGGGGTACTACTGCCTGGGCCATTGATTCTTGTCCTGGTGTGGCTGTTTTCCTCTAGTTCATGCTGTGCAATGTGTCTGCTCTAGACATTCCTGTGACTACAAACCAAGATATGATTATCTATGAAGACATTGTATTAAAAAGGAAATAAATGAGCAGCAATTAGTGCCTTCAGGCACTAATTGTGCCGGGGTCTGCTTGGCTCTCCTTCCTCGGTATCCAGAAGGGGTGTTACCCACAGCAGACCATGTTTTCATTCTTCACCACATGCACAAATGCTAAGGCAGTGCCTGAAACACATTGGCAGGTGTTAACAAATGGTAGCCATTTTTGAATAAATGAAATACACAGTTAATAAACAACAGCCCTGTTTTCCCCATCTGAGTTCTAAACCAACCATGATAGAGGAGGAGGAAGATGGAAAGCTGCACATCAGCTCTGTTACTGACAGAGCTGTGGGAGAGAACAGTGCGGTACAAGTCAGCAGGAGCCTCCTCTTACTGCCTGCAGAATGAGACAGTCCTTCTCTCCTCACCACTGTCCTAGACTGTCCCGCCAGGCTTACAGAGGGCCAGTTGGCTGAGTGCCCGCTGTATCCCATACTCGCTCCAGGCGGGCACATCCTCACCAAAAATAGGCAGAGCTCAGCTCATGACTTAGGTCCTGCTCTGAAGTCATCAATCAAACACATTGGTTTTCTTTTCCTGGGAAGGAGTAAGGATGTGGAGAAAGGCCAGGGATCTTTCACTGATGGGTGGTCCTCATGAGGAAACTTGCAGAAAGGGAGAAAGAGTCACTCCCAACAGTTGGTTGAGTGAACAGGCAAGTCTGGCTTACCCAAGCTATTGACAAGTTGGTTGCATCCAGTCTTACGCAGCAGACTGAATTCATTCCATTAAGACTAGTCCCGTTAAAATATCATAGAATCCACCCAGGTTAGCTTGGGACACAGCTGGTTATTATTGTGTGTTGTGGGTGGTACACCCATCTTTCGTCTTCTGTCTTCCTTCACTTGCTTCCTTCTTTCCCTTTCTTGAAGCCTTAGCCTAGACAGACATCTCTTCCTCAGATTTTCTCAGCCACCCTAATCCAGGTTAGAGGTCTCTTTCCTTTTTTGCCCTGTGCGTATTCCTGTCCATACACACCACGTTGTCACACAAACATTTGCCAGCCTGTCCTCCCTACCCCAAGACTGTGAACTCTGAAGGACCATCGCCCCACATGAGCCCTCTGATTGTTGAGTGAATGAATGCACCCATCCAGTGTCTATCCAGTTTTGTTCACCTTTCAGCCTCTAGTGTTTGGTTCATAAAGAGGACGTAGCGTTCATGAGGAACATTCAAGGTCTCCAGATGTAACCATGCTGTCGTCTGTTTCTAGGCTAGGTCCCACTCAGCTCAAAATCTTCACTTGTGAGTACTGCAACAAAGTCTTCAAGTTCAAGCACTCGCTGCAGGCCCACCTGAGGATCCACACCAATGAAAAGCCATACAAGTGCACCCAGTGTAGCTACGCCAGTGCCATCAAGGCCAACCTCAACGTGCACCTGCGTAAGCACACTGGCGAGAAGTTCGCCTGCGACTATTGCTCATTCACCTGTCTGAGCAAGGGCCACCTCAAGGTGCACATCGAGCGGGTGCACAAGAAGATCAAGCAGCACTGCCGCTTCTGCAAGAAGAAGTACTCTGATGTCAAGAACCTCATCAAGCACATCCGAGAAGCGCATGACCCTCAGGACAAGAAGGTCAAGGAGGCCTTGGACGAGCTCTGCCTGATGACCAGGGAGGGCAAGCGGCAGCTGCTCTATGACTGCCACATCTGCGAGCGCAAGTTTAAGAATGAGCTGGACCGCGACCGCCACATGCTGGTCCATGGAGACAAGTGGCCTTTTGCCTGTGAGCTCTGTGGCCATGGGGCCACCAAGTACCAGGCGCTGGAGCTGCATGTCAGGAAGCACCCCTTCGTGTACGTCTGTGCCGTCTGCCGCAAGAAGTTTGTCAGCTCCATCAGGCTGCGCTCCCACATCAAAGAGGTGCATGAGGCTTCGCAGGAGGCCTTGGTCTTCACCAGTTCCATCAACCAGAGCTTCTGCCTTCTGGAGCCTGGTGGGGACATCCAGCAAGAAGCCCTGGGGGACCAGCTGCAGCTGGCGGAAGAGGAGTTTGCCCTCCAGGGCATGAATGTACTCAAGGAAGAGGCCTGTCCTGGGGACACTCAGCTGGAGGAGGGCCAGAAGGAGCCAGAGGTGCCTGGAGAAATACCTGCCCCAGCTATGCATCTGGCTTCCCCGCAGGCCGAAAGTGCAGCCCTGCTGCCCTGTCAGCTGGAAACCACTGTGATCTCCTCCTCAGACCTGCATTCTCAAGAGGTGGTTTCAGATAACTTTTTGTTGAAAAATGATAGCTCTTCTGCGGAGGCTCATGCTGCTCCTGAGAAGCCCCCGGACACACAACATGCAGACTTAGTCCATACGCAAGGCGAAGTGATCACGCTACTGCTGTCCAAGGCCCAGAGCCCTGGGTCAGGCCAGGAGAGCCAGGGTGCTCAGAGACCTCCAGGGGAAGGGCAGAACATGGCTGCACTTTCAGCTAGTGACCCAGATCCTAGCAGGTGTCTCAGGTCAAACCCAGCTGAGGCCTCCGACCTCCTCCCTCCAGTAGCTGGTGGTGGGGACACTGTCATGCATCACCCTGACTCTTGCAAAGCTGCCCCTGAGCACCGGTCTGGCATCACTGCCTTCATGAAGATCCTGAACAGTTTACAGAAGAAGCAGATGAACACCAGCTTGTGCGAGCGGATCCGGAAGGTTTACGGAGACCTGGAGTGTGAATACTGTGGTAAGGAAAGGCAGCACTGCTGCGTGGCCCTGTCCACTCCCATCACACTGTGGTCACCTCGCATTTGATTTGAGCTCATGTCTGGAACGCCTCCTAAGTGAGTCCCCTTCCTCCATGGTAGATAGGAACGGTGACCCCTGTGTGGCAGTTAGTGCTTGGAGTCTTGTGGAGGCAGCTGGGATGGCTGCACAGTTGACCGTGTTGGCCTGATCAGGCGTGTGTGCTGAGGGTTACCCATGACCTCTCCCAGAACTGTAACCAAGAAGAATCTTTCTTCTGGCACATGACAAGTTTAAAATTGTGCTTTAAATTGTGGCCAATTATTAGATCAGCTAAGAGAGGTTACAAAAGTGGCTGCCACCCTCTGTAGGGAGGTCCCAAATAGCACCGTGCCACTCACAATGAAAGCGTGGCTCCTGGACCTCGTGGGGAACTGGCAGTGCAAGATATAGAAAGTCCAGCTCTAGACCTGCTGTCCCAGCAGTGCCAATAAGAGCTTAGAGACTCGTAGATTTATGAATGTGCATTATGGTATTTGGCACCATAACTGGTTCTCAGCAAACAATTGGCTTGCTCCTCTCCTGGCCTTGACATCATGTAAAAAATGGTAGCACCCTTAATATTTGCAACCTCTCACTTTTGAAAAGTAATTTCCAGACAGAAATGTGGTGAAGAGTATGAAGGGTGACCCGGACAAGCACAAGAGGGAGATCAATACTGTAGATAAAATCATCATAATAATGAAAAAATATCAAAAATTAGTCAAAAGGAAACTTCCTTGTTCTCATGTGAAAATATTTTTTTAGGCAAACTGTTTTGGTACCAAGTGCATTTTGACATGCATGTCCGCACCCACACCCGGGAACATCTGTATTACTGCTCCCAGTGTCATTATTCTTCCATCACCAAAAACTGCCTTAAACGCCATGTCATTCAGAAACACAGCAACATCTTGCTGAAGTGTCCCACTGACGGCTGTGACTACTCGACTCCAGATAAATATAAGCTACAGGCACATCTCAAAGTTCACACAGCACTGGTAAGTAGCAAGCCCGAGCGGCAGCCCTGTCCCCCTGAGTACTCATTGCTTTCTTGAGTTTATGCACATCTGTGTAGGTGGCTCTGCTGCAGGCCAGCCCTGAAAACACAGGGAGGACCCTCTCCTCACACAGCTGTGTCCCAGGTTCCTTTCACAGCAGCAGTCTCTAATGTGTTGAAAAAAGAGATTAGATGAAACAGATTGTTTTCTGTGCAAATTGTTTAGCGTCAGATGAAGTCTACAGAAGAAATATCTACAGAGAAGTGAAGCCAGGATTTCTTAAATGGCATTTCGAAGAATAATTAATAGCAAAGATAGCAGTAATAGCTACTACTGAATGTGGGTCAGAGGCTGAATTGGATAATGCTTGTACGGTGATGAGAACAGTATTTGCTTTAGAGAGAGAGGGTAGTAGGTGTCGATGACCACTATTGTCATAGTTTTGCGTGATTTATTTTAGTCTCTGGGAGAGAATGTCTTTGAAGCACTTTTCTTTTTAAACAGTGATGTGTTAATTCAGGATGCTGTTCATACACAAAGGTAAATTTGTTTAGCTCTTTGGTGGAGGATCTTGTAACACAATGAATGAGTGTTTATTTTTGCAAATTCTAATCTAACTCAGGAGGCTGACATCTGAGAGTGATTTGAGGCTTCGTAAAGTTATAAAGGAAGCACATCTGGCCCCAGGTGGGGTTCTGTGTTAATTGCATGTCTTTTTATGCTGCAGACAGCGAAAAATGAAGCTTTAGAAACTTGATGTGCTACCGCAGTTTTCTGGCATAAAAATCATAGCAGTTTATGACGAAGGGTAACACCACAGCAGTTTGTCACTAAGGGTAAAGTCAGGGTGTTTGGGTGTAGTGAGTAGCTCAGAGCATGGGCTTTGGGGTTGGATAACTGGATTCAAACACTGTCTCCAGCCAAGGCCCTTGGCAAACTCACTTGTCTTTCCTGAGACCTATATGAAATAGCCTTCTGTATAAGGTTTATATTTTAAAAAACCTATTTTATATGCATCCAAACACATATGCATATACACACAAACAGATGTGTATATACATGCGTTTATACAGATATGCATGTATATATGTGTATTTATGTACACACCTACACATATATGCGCGCACATACACATATTGTGTGTGTGCATATAATTATAGTTGTGAATGCATATAGATCTGTGGTCACTGGGAGCTTTAGTGCAGTGCTCTAAGGAACTTGGCACAGTGCTTGTCAGGTAGTTGACTGGATACTGGCTGCTGCATGTCATTTGGCACTTCTCAGTACACATTCTGTCTCCTTCCTTTTCTTTCTCTCTGTCTCTCTCTGGGTAGCATGTGAAGACGTGTGGTTTGTAATTCCTCATGGAACTGCTGTTAGAATACTGCTTCCAGGACTCTATTACGGCAGGGAAAAGGGAGGTGGCAGAATTCACTAAAGTGATTTTGCTAGAAACTCATATGAAGTCAGGAGAGTGTGCAACCAGTATGAGAACGTGTTCTTGGGAGAAGCCTTGGACTGTGGCAATTAAGACCAGGAAGTGGACTGCTGGGTTTTAACCCTGGCTCCCGCGTTTGCCACGTGTTTAGCCTTGCGATAAGTCATGTGACCTATTTGCCTCAGTTTACCCATCCTCGGGTGAGGATGAAGTGAGAGAATAGATGTAAATGTCTCAGAACAGTGCCTGGCATGGAGCAAGCACTGTGTGCCATTGACTGTTTTCATTATTGATTCTACTTCTTTCAATACTTGCTGCTCCAGATTTAGAGACTTTGAAACATAGGCTGGAAGAATAACAAGAAAAAGTAAGTTGTAGGTGAGATTTACCACCTGGGACCGTATGTATTCTTCCATGCCCAAATCTTGCCTGCCTGTCGTGAGGGACCCATGGTTCAGCCCAGCGATTTCTTCCCCCAGCTGCTGATACTTGGCATCCTGGCCACATCCCTGGGCCTCACAATCAGCAGAGGAGTGTCAGGAATGTGTGCTGAGATCTTTGGTCCCAGTCTCATTTGCTTTCATTCTTCTTAATAAAGCAGCATTTAAAGAGGTTTTTCTTTTAAACTTTCTGTGGTTATGAATCTTCCTTCTGAGAGGCTTATCTCTTTTCAATGTGAATACTTAGGATGGCATTTGGGGAAATACATGTTGGGGGAAAGGGAAGGAACAGCTGCTGTCTTTATCCTGTGGGCCAGCTCCTTGTGCAGTCTTAATTCTCATATTACTTCTAGTAGTTGGAATATTTCCTCCACTGGGCAGATTAGGGGCCTGGCATTACAGAGTCATTTGGTAACTTGCTCATGATCGTGCCATTGGTAAGGGACAGAGACAGAATTCAAGCCACACTCTGACCACTGCCTGGGCTCCCCACTTTGTTGTAGTTGATCATTAACATCAACCACTTTATTCTTGGTAGGTCTCTTGTACATGTGTCCATCATCTGAAGGAATGTGGTCGAGGTGGATGTTGTGCCGTGAGAGCAGGGACTGAGTTGATTCTTTCTGTGCCATTAAGTGGCAATTGTGCTTTATGCTACAATAATAAAATTTCTATGCAGCTAACTGCAAGAGAAGAACAGCGTGCTAAATATGGGGATGTGACTCAGTTGACCTTATAAAAAAGATATGCAAGCCTGCTTCTCATTAGCTCTCACATTTTCTTAGAAGTTGTAAGTTTAACTTCAGTCTTTTCCCTTACTGATATTTTCAGTTCTTCCAACTGAGATGCTTTTAAAGGTGAATGTGATGCCGCTACTTCCAAAAGCAGCCAGCACGGGCTGGAGGCTGCCTCCTCTGCATGTCAGGCATTGGGATTTCCAGAAAGACCTGCTCCCTGCTGGTGCTCTTTGTTTTGGGTCGGGGGAAGGTTAAACAATAAACAGTAATGGCAAAATGGCAACATGAGAGGGACAGGGACGTCAACACAACAGTGTACTTCCCCCAAAAAAATTTGCCTGGAAAGGGCCTGGGAGGAAGGTTCTGAGGGCTGCCTGGAAGAATGGGGTATGAGTAGATTTTGGCCAGCAAAGAGAGTGAGGAGGAAATGCCCAGCAGAGTCAACAGCACAAACCAAGGGGAAGGCTTTTGTATTTACTCCAGGATATTGAATTACTAAATATTTTCCGTGAAGCAGGTAGACCATATTGCCAACATAGTAAGAGAGCATGATTTATGAAAACAGGTTCTAGGGCTTTGAGTTTAGACAATATTTGTCTTTTGAGGCTTTAGATTGTTATTGTAATGAAGCCAAGGGTACCAAGAAAATGTGGACACAGTAAAAGAAGTCTGCTTTCCCTGAATGAAGACTCTTTTGATCTGATAATAAAGTTGCTATCGCAGAGTGTTTTAAATAGAATTCCGTGTTTTCAAGGACGGTTAAGGTGGATTCTTTTTATTTTTTGTAACAGCTTTATCAAGATAAAATTTTACATACCATACAATTTGCTCATTGAAGTGTGAAATCCAATGTGGTTTTTAAGTTTTTTATTTTGTATGTTCACAGAGTTGTGCAACTATCACTACAGTTAATTTTTTTTTTTTGCTTGCTGCTGTTTACTTTTTTTTATTGCATTTTAGGTTTTGGGGTACATATGAAGAACGTGCAAGATTGTTGCATAGGTACACACATGGCAGTGTGATTTGCTGCCTTCCTCCCCATCACCTGTATCTGGCATTTCTCCCCATACTAGCTCTCCCCAACTCCCCACCCCCTGCTGTCCCTCCCCTGTTTCCTCCCAACAGACCCCAGTGTGTGATGCTCCCCTCCCTGTGTCCGTGTGTTCTCATTGTTCAGCACCCACCTATGAGTGAGAACATGCAGTGCTTGATTATCTGTTCTTGTGTCAGTTTGCTGAGAATGATGGTTTCCAGTTTCATCCATGTCCCTGCAAAGGACACAATCTCATCATTTTTGATGACTGCATAATATTCCATGGTGTATATGTGCCACATTTTCCCTGTCCAGTCTATCATCGATGGGCATTTGGGTTGGTTCCAGGTCTTTGCTATTGTAAACAGTGCTGCAATAAACATTCGTGTGCATGTGTCCTTATAGTAGAACGATTTATAGTCCTTTGGATATATACCCAGTAATGGGATTGCTGGGTCAAATGGAATTTCTATTTCTAGGTCTGTGAGGAATCGCCACATTGTCTTCCACAATGGTTGAACTAAGTTACACAACTGCCAACAGTGTAAAAGTGTTCCTATTTCTCCGTATCCTCTCCAGCATCTGTTGTTTCCAGATTTTTTTTAATGATCGCCATTCTAAGTGGTATGAGATGGTATCTCAATGTAGTTTTGATTTGCATTTCTCTAATGACCAGTGATGATGAGCATTTTTCATATGTTTGTTGACCTCATGTGTGTCTTCTTTTGTAAAGTGTCTGTTCTTATCCTTTGCCCACTTTTGAATGGGCTTGTTTTTTTGTTGTAAATCTGTTTGAGTTATTTGTAAATTCTGGATATCAGCCCTTTGTCAGATGGGTAGACTGTAAAAAATTTTTCCCATTCCGTTGGTTGCCGATTCACTCTAAGGATTGTTTCTTTTGCTCTGCAGAAGCTGTGGAGTGTGATTAGGTCCCATTTGTCTATTTTGGCTTTTGTTGCCAATGCTTTTGGTGTTTTGGTCATGAAGTCCTTGTGTACACCTATGTCCTGAATGGTTTTGCCTAGATTTTCTTCTAGGGTTTTTATGGTGTTAGGTCATATATTTATGTCTTTAATCCATCTAGAGTTAATTTTTGTGTGGGGTGTCAGGAAGGGGTCCAGTTTCTGCTTTCTGCACATGGCTAGCCAGTTTTCCCAACACCATTTATTAAACAGGGACTCCTTTCCCCATTGCTTGTTTCTGTCAGGTTTGTCAAAGATCGGATAGTTGTAGATGTGTGGTGTTGCCTCTGAGGCCTCTGTTCTATTCCATTGGTCTATATCTCTGTTTTGGTACCAGTATCATGCTGTTTTGATTACTGTAGCCTTGTAGTATAGTTTCAAGTCAGGTAG